TATAAATATTATTTATAAAATATGATCTATTAAATTATTTTTTTGATAATATTAATATTCTAAATAAAATTAACATGCAATCTTTGTATATAAATAAAAACATTATTTTTTGAAAAAGCAATTTTATCTATAAAATATTTTTCAAAAATTATATCTATTTCATCTATTTAACAGCCCAAAAAAAATTCGGATAACAACATAATTAACAGATGATTATTTGTATTAGATATATTAATTTAAAATATTAATTAAATAAATAAAACATCATAATTTATAGTGTTTATAAATTGTTAAACTTAACTTAGCAACTACTAAATTCTTAAATTTTTTTCATTGATAATTTGTCATTCAAATTTGTAAGAACAATTTATTTATTTCTTCATTAATGAGAGCAGCATGCAAATAAAATCATTCAGATAATTGATTTTAACATTAACTTGATTATAAAAATAGAATATATAATTGATTTAAAAGGGAATTCATTTTTGAAAATTAATTTAATAAATAAATCTCTAAATGATCTTAATATTCAAATTTTATAATCATATTTTGAAGTAGCTTGTAATTAGGATATGAATGTTTAAGTCAATAAATAATAAAATCTATTAAATTTTCCTTATAGAATACAATTATATTAAATTATTCAATAATTATAATTTTATAAATGCATCACCATTCTAAGGAATCTAACTTTTATTCGAATTCTCTTGAACCCTCATAAAATTAAGAATACCATTGTCTCCATCTCATTAATACAGGATCTGCGTCTCCTTTTAAGTTATAGCAGCTTTTATCAGCAAAAATTTTATTATCCCAGACACTAACATCAGAAATAATTTATCTTAACCCTCCTGATAAAATATATGCACTTAGCCAATATGGCAAATATGAATTTATGTGCAAAGTTAAGAATACTTTTTGATTAAATTTGTCAACAGGTTATAAGGCTTACTTATAAAAGACTTCAAATAAACTGGATAAAATATATAATTATATTGTAGCAGGTCCCATTTAAAATCCAGTAATATATAATGCATTGATTTTCCATCTGTTAAAGAACATAAGAGATCCATCCAAACATAAAACATTCATGCGAGGTCTTAATTCTTTATTTGATAAATAATGATCAAATAATTATTTTTAATAATTTCTTATCTTTTCTTTAGGATGTTCCATTTTTTTATAAAAATCTGGTTCATTTGCAGGCATACTTTTCATATTCCACTTAAATTTCACAAGCCATGTAGGTATAAAATCACTAACTGATGCATGGATATAATCAAAATGTCGAATATCTGCACCATTTTCAGGAAATTCTTAAATATGGCAATTAATATAATTAATGCTTTCTCCTCTTAATTGTAAATGATCACATTTTTCCACCATAGGTTCATACCATGGCTTATCTTCATTACAGTGTAACCAAATGTAAACCATTCCTTTAATTTCTCTAATGAGATAAGTTTTTATTTTGATTTCTCCTTCTTCTACTTTTTGTAAATATTCTCCTTTTTAATTAGGATTCATCTTTTCAATATTATTGTAACAATAAGTTGATACAATTTTAGGGTCTAATTTTTCAGAATTAACACATAATCCAGTTTTACCATCAAATGCCCATCCATGGAATGGACATTCGATACAAGATTTGAATTTAACTTATCCACCAATTCCTAAATTAGCTCCCATATGTGGACAATAAGCAGCAACTGCATAAACAACTTTATCTGTTCCTCTATAGTAAGCTATATGTCTTCCAGCTAATTTGATTTCTTCTACTTATCTATATAGTTTATCAAATTTATTACCCAATCTTCAATTCTGCACTTCTGCAAAGTCTAAACCATCCATTTGGATATGAAGGTGGACACTTTCCTCTTATTTATTTGTGTCTAATTATGTTTTGCTTAGGTTTCTCCTCTATTACAAAGAATCTAAACTTTTTGTAATAAATGTAATATAGTGCAATGAAACATAAAGGTATTATTATTTCCAATTAGAGAGAATCCATGTAATTGTATAATAATATTATTAATAATAAGATATATTTTTTTTAAATTTAGACTTGAATTATATTATCAGATTAATTAAAATAAGTATTAATACAAATTAGAATAATGAATAATTATAAATATGTGGTAAAATGTTCCAGTTTTGATTAAAATTAAATAATTATTTAATATATATAATTTGATAACGCAATTTATTAGATAATGAGCAAAAAATTTTTAAACACAGAAATATTAGTGGAAGCTGGTACAAAAATGTTGTAAATGGTCTCGAATAAATTTGAAGAGATTGAATAATTAAAATTCCCAGTTGTCCCAAAGGTTCAACCAGGTTTCTTGAGATAATAATTTTCTGAAAAACCTCCTTTAGAACCAGAATCACTAGATATAATATTATAAGAGACAGAAAAAAAAGTAATTTATGATAATACTACTTTAGATATTTCCAGGATTGACTTTATGGAGTCATCCTAACTTTTTTGCATATTATCCTTCAAATATTACACATGCTTCAATAATAGCAGAAATATTTGCCTCAGCTTTTGGAACACCTGGATTTTAATGGTTAGCATCTCCAGCTTAAACAGAATTAGAGAATATTGTGGTTGATTGGATGGTTTATGGTTTAGATTTGCCAAGCAAATTTTTAATGAAAAATTAAGGAGGGGGAACAATAGCAGGAACAGTTTCAGATGCTATATTTATTTCTGTTCATGTTGCTAAAAGAAGAAAGATGAAATAGTTAAATATAAATACAGATTCAGCTAAGGTTTGTAAATTTGTAGGTTATTATGTTGAAAGTGCTCATGCATGTGCAACAAAAGCTTTACATTTAAAGGATATTTATTATTAAAAGAAATTACCTATTATATTTAATGAAACATTATAAAATTATATAGTTGATATAGAAAAAACAATAGAAATAATTGAATAGGATATTAATGAAGGTTTAATTCCATTTTGGTTAAGCTGTTCTTTTGGAACAACAGGCACTTGTGCATTTGATCCTTTAGATTAATTGGGTGAAATTTGCAAAAAATATTAAATTTGGTTTAATGTAGATGCAGCATATGCAGGATCATCATGGATTATAAATGAATATAGAGAAAAAGCTATAGGATTAGAATTAGCAGATTCAATTGAAGTTAATTTTGCTAAATTAATGATGTGTGGTCTTACTGGCAGTTTATTTTATGTTAATGATAAAAATGAATTAGCTGAAGCTATGGGAAATAAAATAGATTTCGAAATTTATAAAAATAAATTTACAGAAAATTACGATGTATGGGATTATAAAGATTGGTAAGTTGCTTTGGGTAAGAGATTTAATTCAATTAAAATGTTTTGGATGATTAAAAGCTTAGGATTGAATGGCATGAGAGAATAAATTTTATAAAAAATAGAAGTGGCAAAACATTTTGAATAATTAGTCAGATCATCTAATAGATTTAAAATATTTACTAAACCATAATTAGGATTAGTCACATTTTTATTAGTTCATGAAGATTTAAGTACTTAAAATAAATTGAATAGAAGATTATAAGAATTAATAAATGAAAATACTTTATTAGGATTTATAAGTGGATCAGAAATTAAAGGTATTTTTTATTTAAGAGTGTCTATTGCAAATCATACAACAACAAAAGAGAATGTAGAACATTTTTGGAATCACATTTTAAAATTAACTGAGCAATTATGATTATGATAATATAATAAATCAAGATTAATTTCTTTTATAAATAAATAATTAAAATGGCATTTTACTATGAATCAGAAGATTTGAATTTAAGAAAGAAGTATAATAACTTACAATATGATGAATTAGAAGAATAAGATAAATAGAGTGTTGCATATTGTATTTCTGAATAATAGATGACAACTAAATAACATGAAGAATAATTACAATAGGATTTTGAAATAATAATAAAGGATATAAAGAATATGTGTGTTTACTTTACATAAAAATATATAGTTTAAAATGAAAGTAATCCTTAATTACATAGATTCCCATTTATAAAAGTAAAGAATAGAGTTTGTCACATATTTGAAAAATACCAAGAATAAAATACTTTGTTAGATTCAATATTAGAATAGATTTGTGTAAGTTTAATGGATGTAGTAAAGGTGTATGTATTGAAATATGTGAATAATATTGGATAAAGTATATGTGAAGAATTTCACAATATTTGTGATACAATATATATCCTAACAAAAGTAAGAGGAATAAGAACGATTAGTAGATATTGTCCACATGAAGTATGTAATTTGGAACCAGTGGTAATGTATTTATAACATTGTTCAACTGATCTTAATTAGAATTGGGAAACAAAATATGTTATTTTAATGTGGTTAAGTATAATAGTGTTAGTTCCTTTTGATTTGAATTCTATTGATTCATAAATATTTAATGCTATTTAAGACACTTTTACATCAAGTAATACTATTATAACCTCATTATTAAATTTGGGAGTTAATTACTTAAAATCATCTACTAAATTAAGAAACATGGGTGCTTTGTATTTATCTAAGTTGTTTAGTAGAACAGATATACTTAAATGCAATTTATTAGAATAATTCTTAAATTGGAGTGTTAAATAAATTCATGAATTATAGAATAATATTTTGAATACTTTTTATATTACTGGAATATTGGAAACTCTAGTAGAAATGCTTAAGGTTGTTTAAAGAGATGTATTAAAGAACTATTTATATATCTTGTTACCTTTATTAGAACTTAAATAACAAGGAACCTTAATTAATCTCTATCTCACTAAATTAACTTAAAGAATTGGTTTAGTATATTTAAGACCTAGAGTTGTTAGTTGGACATATAAAAAAGGAACAACTAATTTATAGCAAACCTTAAAAATAATAGATTATTCAAGGATAGTTACAAATTCTTAAATATCTAAAACATCATCATTATTATAATAATAATAATAATCAAATATATAATTAGAGGATGTTGATTATTTTGCTGATGTTGATTAAGAAGGATTAGAAGCTGTTGTTGATACTTTATTATAATAAATAATAAATAAAGATACAGTAGTTAGATGGTCAGCAGCAAAAGGAATAGGTAGAATTTGTTCTAGATTGGATTTGGATTAAGCAGATGATATTTTTGATTCATTATTAAATACATGTTTTACTCCAATAAATGGAGATACTGCTTGGCATGGTGGTTGTTTAGCTTTAGGTGAATTATGCAGAAGAGGATTAATTTTGGAAAATAAATTAGAGTCAATAATTCCGATAATATGCAAAGCATTAATATTTGAATAGAATTAAGGAGGTTATAGTATTGGAGTAAATGTGAGAGATTCAGCATGTTTTATAGCATGGTCAGCTGCAAGAGCATATGATCCTGAGATATTAAAAAATCATGTTTTAGCATTAGCATAACATTTAGTAATAGTGATGATATTTGATAGAGAAGTGAATGTAAGAAGGGCAGCATCAAGTACGTTTTAAGAATTAGTTGGTAGATGTCCAAATATTATACCACATGGTATAAGTATTTTAACAGAAGCTGATTATTTTTCATTAGCAATGATTCATAATGCTTATTTAAGAATAGCTCCATTTGTAGCTTCATTTTCAGAATATTATAAATAAATGGTTGATCATTTAGCTTTCATAAAAATAGCAAGTTAAGATAAAGAAGTAAGAAAATTAGCAGCAAAAGGATTAGGAAGATTACTTGTCTTAAATCCAATATATTTTAAAGAGAATTTAATTTATGAAGGAATATTAAAAATGTTAAGATTATAATCATTGAATCAAAAACATGGAGCATTATTTGCTTTAGGAGATTTACTTATTGCATAATCTGGACATATAACTAAGAATTCAGAAGAAAAAGAATTGAAAGATTCTGTATTTCTTCGTACTTTAACTAAAAATGATAGATAATTAGCTAAAGCTGGAGAACATATAACTATTTTCAAATCTTAATATGAATAATTACTTTAAGTAGATAATATGAATTTACTCTCATAAGAAATAATAGAAGACATAATGCAAATACCTAAATAATTAGAAGATAGTTTAAAAGGAAAGAGTGGAGAATAAATTAGAATTGCTGCATATAGATTGATTGAATGTATTTCTATATCTAAATTACCTTTACAAATAGATTAACATGCATATTACTTAAAATTTATAGAAGATGGATTAAAAAATCCATTAGAAGAAATTCAAACATCAGCAGCAAAAGCATTAAAATTATTAAGTAATTAATATTAAACACATGGTTAATATTTATAAGATGGTAAAGAATTTCTAAAAAGAGTAATAAAATAATTAAATCAAAAAACTACAACAGTTTAAGTATTAATATAAGGTGGATATGCTTAAAGTGTTGGATCTTTCTCTCCATAAGTACTTCATAATGAAGATCTTAGTATTTTATATTAGATTGGATTATCAAAAAAGAGAGCAAAATTAACAAGTTGGAGTATTGATCCTGATACTAGAAAATTTGCTATAAAATCACTTGGTTAAAGTATTATTAATTAATTAAACAATAATTTTAATTGCGATGCTTAACTATTATCTGTTATTGATTGTTTATTATATGCTATGTTAGATTATACAATTAATAAAAAAGGAGATGTTGGATTGTTTATTAGGGAAAATTCTATTATTGCAATATAATCAATTTTAGTTAGCTACATAGGTTTTATAGATAGAAATAATATTCAAAATATTGTTATTGATGAATAATATACTATTAAAATAATTGGTTAATTATTGCAATAATTATGTGAAAAAATAGATAGAGTTAGATTATTAGCTGGTAGTGTTTTATAAGATTTATTTAAATCTGTATTTCCTAAATTAAAATAATTTGATAATTATGAAGAAATTTCTGCAATATTCTCAACTACTAATTTATAATAAACTATAATTAAAGATTAAGAAAGAGTTGATTAAACCTTTTAAAGTGAAATAATTGAAGCTGAAATCAAAAACTTAAAAGATGTTTTATAAAATATTGGTAAAACTGATTTAATTTATCATTGGAATCTTCCACATTGTTGTTATAGATTAATTGTACCCATTCTTGCATATCCAACATTTTGTAGATACATTTTAACAGGATTATGTATAAGTGTAGGAGGAATTAGTGAATCTATTTAAAAATTTAGTGAAGAAGCTTTAGTTTAATATATTCATCTAAATTAAAATCTTGATTTAATCATGATTAATTTAATTGAAATACTTAAATTATATGTTTTAGATGAAAGAGTTGTCATACCATTATTTAAAACAGCTTCACTTGTTTTATAAAAAGAAGAAATACAATAATTACCTATGATTAAGTAATATACTGAAAATCTATTCTATTTAATTTACAAAGAAACACATAAAACTTAATCAATTAACAAATTATCTTCAAGTGTCTAACTTATAATAGATATTTTATCAATTAATACTGATTTATTTCATCAAATAATTTAACACATCTATGATATTTTAACTAGCGAGTATTTATTTAATTTATTTATAGTTTACCTAAAGTAAGAAAATAATTAGCTGAAGCATTCTATTTATATTTATTATCACATGATAATGAAGAATTGATATCTATGGACAACAATTGTTTACTTTAAGATTATCTATTAGAAACTGATTGGCTATCAGTATTTTATTTATTTTATTATTTAATAGGAAGAATTAGATAAAAATATTGAAGAATGTAGAAACTAATTGAAATAATTATTGAATTTATGAGTTATTAACAAAAATAATATTTTATAATTTTATAAATTTATGAGTAAAAAAAAAGAATCAATTTAACCCACAACACTCATTAATTTAAAAAATATAGATTTCTAAGCAAAATTAGATTACATTTAACAATAATTAAAAAAGTATATATTTACATGTATCTTATAAGTAAAGAATCTTAAACATTATGGAAATAATATTAAAAAGATGTGATTGAGAAAGAGGTAACAATGCTTAATTAAGAATTAGAAATATAATCAAAACTATAAGAATTGAAATTAGTTTAAACAAATTATCCATTTACAAATATGGAAAACTAAGATGAATAGAAAAAAATTCAAGGATATTTATTTGATGGTATTTTATGTTCAATTGCTGATTTAACATTAAATAAACATAATTAGGATAATAATTAGGAGGGAAAATGTTAAAATGAATAATAGAAAAAGAAAAAAGGTAGAAAACCTGGAAAAGTTGGAAAATGTGGTAATATTGAAAAATCAAAAGATCAATCCTAAAAGGGAGAGAAAGAATAAGATAAATAAAAAGAAGAAAAAAATAAAAAAAAAAATAAAGGAAGACCTAAATCAAAAATAAATAACATAAATTAAAAGGGTATATAGAAAGGATAATCTAAATAAATAAAATTGAAACCTGGAAGAAAACCAAATAAATAGAAAGTAGTTGAAGGAGTTAAGAATAAATAGAAAGGATAGATTAAGAAAGTTTAGATTAAGAAAAAGATATAGAAAAAATAGAATAAAAAGAAATGAGAATAATTATTTTTAATACAAATTACAAAGTAAATTAATCATTCAAATTTAATTGCTTTGTAATCATTTTCGTTTTCTATTCCTACCCATCCATATTAAGATTAGATTCCTTAAATTCCTTATTATAATTATATATTTTAAATCAATCCCAAAGGATCGATACTTTCTCTAGTAATAGGATCAAAATAACCATTTTATTTAAAATGTTTTTGAATACTATTTTTATCATATGTTAAACCAGAGTTAAGAAGTATAGGTTCATCCATAATTTCATAAGTAATAGGGCAAACAAAGTATTCTGGTAAAATAATATCAATTTTGTTATCGATATTAAGTTCAATTTAATTCCAATTTAAATGATGATGTTATCTATGTGCAATATCTGTTAAAGTTTATTTAAGAGATAGGATATCTATAGGAAATGAATAATAATAAGTATACTCTTTTTATTTATTTCTGATCTAATTAAATATATCATTTTTTTTCCTTTAGCTAAATTTTAATTGATCAAAACTTTTAATTTATTTTTTTATTGATTTTAATTAAATTTAACCAATTCGAATGCTATAAGTATAAAGATATTAATACCACATTCAAGTTCTTTGATTCCTAATTAAGCTTATTTGATAAGTGTCTCACTAATGTCTGGAAACATTTATACTTCAATTAAAATAAGAGTTCCATAAAGGAAATGAGCTCTAGAGTTCTATTAATCAATTTTAAGAGCTTGTTAAGCATCTTATTTGGCTTCTTAAAATCTATTAAGAAGTTTATTAGCCACAGAACGATTAGAGAAGTAGATAGAATCATGATCATAGAGATTCTAATTATTAAGTTGAACTTACAATAGCTTATGTATATGATTCTATAGCTTTTTTATATTGTTTCATTTAGATATAATAATTACCTTCACTTTTGAATTCTAAGGATTTGAGCAAATTGGGAGCAAATCTGCGATTATTTCTATGTGGTAATTCATTTCTTTTAGAAGCAGCTTTTAATATTTTTCTAGATGAAGATTAAGAAGCGATAAGACAATTCTTATGTTAAAATGGATATTCTGTTAGGACTTCTGTTATTTGAGGATGATTAGAAGTTGTGTTTCCCATGATTAAATATATAATGCTAATTTAATCAATCAAAATATATTATTATTGATTCATTTCATAAAATAATTCATTCAAGTTATTATTTAGAAATGGTTATCAATATATCTTTAACAAAATTATATTAATATCTTTGTAAGGTTTAATTTAATCTATATTATAAAGTGATTTAATACTTATTTATTGCAATTATTTTTATTTTCTCTTTCAAATCTTCAATTAATCTTTCCTATTCATTAAGTTTTATTTATTATTCTTTTACTTAACTTAATTCTAATCTACTACCATTTTAAGTTGATTATTAATAATTTATTATTTCATTTATCTAATTCAAAACTCCTTGTTCATTAACCTAATAATAAATGATAATATAATTACTTATTAAATTTAATAACAAATTACTTATTATTTCAATTTTAGATTTTATTCTAAAATAGCAAACAATTTTTCTGCACACATCTTTTATGGACTAGATAAATTCTTTATTTTTTAATCATCCAATTCAATCATTAATTCTATAAATCTTTATTTAAGGTAAATTTTAAAGATTCTATTGATAATATAAATAGCCATTTTTTATCCTTTATTTGATATCATAGAATCTATATCTGATTTAAAGAAAGCTTCTTTAATTGGAGTTTATTATAGAAAACTTGATTGTGAAGGTTAAAACGAACCATCATCAGGTATTCCTTTACCATAATGTTCTAAAAGAGTAAATGCTCTTTATTTTATTCTATCAAATGCTATTAATAAATTATTAAATAGTTTTTTGCATTTTATAATTTATTAAGTTGACAATCCAATAGCTTTTTAATTTAAGCAATTATCTCTCATTCTCCAATAAGCTACTTATCTACTTATTTTTGAATTCTTAGCTATAATATCAGCAACTCTCTTAAACCATTTATTTTTTGATGGTTAACCTCTCCAAATATCAATTACGTACTTTTTTAAAGCTTTTTCAGCAAATTTATTTAAATGTATCATTTTTTATATTGCTTAACAAATCTATATCATATTTCTTTTAACTGCTTTTATTTTCCATTATGTAAAATATACTCTCAATCTTACATAAGCATAATTCTAAAATAATAAAATAGCTTCTTTTTTTAATCTATCTTGTTTTTATGTTTTAGATTCTTATTTATTTATATGAATTCTTATTTTATCTCTCCATTCAATAAATGCTACATTCAATTAATTCATTTTATGCTAATAAAACAATTATATTGCTAATTTTCTATTTTCATTTAAATTTTATTCATTTTATAACTTCATTTAATTAATTCTATCTCTCCATTTTTATATTCCTTATTATTATTATGACTTAGTAGTTCTTACTAATAATAACGTTACTCTTCTCTTTTTATTTAATGCTTCATAATAAATATTCTATAAACTATCAAATGAAATTAATAATTGCCTTCTAAATAAATTAAACATTTTCTTTTCAAATATATATCCTTATTTCATTTTCTAAGGTTCAGGTAATCTTCTCCATTTAAAAAATGAACTGTGTAATTATCCTATTTATGAATTTGATATTCCTAATAAAAACTTATTAATTGCTTTCTAATTCTTATTTAAATTACTAAACTTTCTTAAAATCAATCTTAAATTATAATTCTTTTTATTTTAAATATAATCTCTTAGAATTTCAATTATTGAAAACTTTTATTTCTGTCTATTTTAATTAGCTAATAAATCTAATTTAGCTTAAGTCTACTTCCATTTCTAATAAGAATCTTTAAACATTTCTTCCCATTCTTTTAATAATCTAACCAATTCTTATTATTTCTTTATTTCTTTAATCTAATCCTCAAATATAAAATATATTTGATTTTATTATATTTTATTTATTGAATTAAAGAATCCAAATACTTTATTAGCTCTATCTTCTGACTTCTCTATTTCATTTACTTTATTCCATTTTAGAAATGCCTTCTTTTCTATACTCATACAATTAAATATCAATTTATTTATTACATATTTCTATTTAGCTTAACCATCTAAATAAATATTTTATAAATATTTAAAACTACTTTTTCTAAGAATTTATAATTTAAAAGAATTTAATTTTTATTCAAATCTTGATGCTTATTTTAAATTTTATGAATCTGGTAATTATTTCCATTTTTAAAATGAAGTATCCACTTAACCTGAAAGTGTATGAAGTAATTTTAATTAAATCTTTCTTATTTAAATTAATTTATTCCCACCATTATTAAATTTTCTTAAAATATCTCTTAATTATCCATTTTTATTATGTTTCAAATTTCTTTATAAAAAAAATATTAAAAACTTCTTTTTCTCTTCATCTAATAATTTTGCTATCTTATCAGATTTTACTTAATTATTCCATTTCATAAATGCCCATCTTAATAAATTATTATATTAAGATGACATTCTTTCAAATACTTTTTCTTAAAATTTATTTGTCTTAAAAATTATTTTAACATTTCCTTATAATGTTAAAGAAAGAGTTTAAAACAAATTAGTAGTTTATTTACAAGTTTCAATTGATTTTAATAATTTATTTGTGTTTCTCCATTATAAAAATAATCTTTTATTCAATCCCATACCCAAAAGTATTAATTTTCTAATACAATGCATCTTTTTATTAATAGACTCTTAATATTCATCTTTTAATGGATCAAATGATAATTTAATTCTACCTCTATATATTGATTCTAAAATTTTCTCTAATATTCTTCCTTTTTTAATATCTTCAAAATTTTATATCTCAGGAAGATTTTTCCACTTTTAAAATGCTACAATTACACCTCCAAACTTAGTTGTAAATAATCTAGAAAAAAACTTCTATTATATTACACTAATACAAGAATTTCTCTTAAATTTATACAAAGTTTATTTCAATGCTGCTCTAAATTTATACTGTACATTATTTTAAATAAAATTTATTATTTAACGCAATTAGATATCTTTTCTCTCTTCTTCTATTTCTTATATTCTTTAAAATTTTATATAATTAACCCATTTAATAAAGAAATATCTTAAATTATCAAAATTACCTTATATTATTTTTAATAATGCTTTTTCCTTAATTTTAGATTCATTATTTGGTTTCAAATTTTATAAATTACATTAGATTTAATCACCAACAAATTTAAACAATTAAATAACACTCTTACATCTTTAAACTTCTTAAATTAAAGTTACATTTTTATTCCATTTACTTAAAGCCTTTTATTATTCTGATTCTTAAGTCTTTACAAGAAGTAAAACTGTTCTCTTTTATATTGCTAATGCATCATCATATATTTCATATAATGGATTCCAAGTATTCTTTTTTATCTATCGAATCAAAAAATGATTAAATGATTATTAAAATTTAGTAACTTTGGCTAATTAAGAATAATCAAGTTCAGGTATTAATTTCCATTTATTAAATGAAATCCATACTTATGAAATTGTATTTCTATGTATTATTGTTAATGCCTTTCTTTTTAAATTTTAAGATTATGCATTCTAATGAAATCTTTTTAAAATTTCAATCAATGCATAATGTTTTACTTTATATCCAGAATTAATCCAATTAACTAATCTTTACTTTATTATTTCATCATTTAATGTAACATTTAATTATGAAAATTAATCAAACATTTTCATTTCCCATGATCTTCTATGCCAACTAATAAATGCTGTTTTTAAATCACTTTAACCAATAGATATAATTTTATTTATACAATACTTCTTTTTAGCCTATCCATCTAATAAATAATCTTCTAATTTATTCCATGAGTTTATTTTTACAAATCTATAAGCAACTCTCCCAAGTGATATCATAAATTTACTTACTATTAATGCTTTCCCATTTACCTTATCTTCTGATAAATATTTCCATTTCTAAAAGCTAGAACTTACTTATCCAATTACAGTCTACATTATTCTAATATTAATTTTCTTTATCTAATATGCTACTTATAGATTTTTATAAAATTGATTTAATGTTCTTCTTAATCTTTATTTTTTATCATTTTCTAAAAATTTCTTTAAATTTAATATAAGAAACTTCATTTTTTCATCTCCTAACTTCTCCAGAATTTACTTTTATTTATTATGACTTTTCCATTTATAAAAAGCTATAGCTAAATTACTATGATGAGATGCTAATATTTTCTAAATACATTTTTCTTTAATATCTACATCACTTTTATTTTAAATAAATGTGAGTAAATTTGTTTGTATAATCTAAGCTATAGAATAAAAAAAATTATTAGTTTTTTAACATGCAACTACAGATTTATAAACTCTAGCTACATTCTACCATTATTTTAGATATCTTTGAGGAGCACTCATTGTTACTTAAAATAATTATCTTATACAAAATCTTTTCTTTTATTAAGCTTCATAATAAAGATATTTCAAAGGATCATATGCTTATTTATGTTTATTTGTTATTAAGAGTTATAATTAAATTGAAAATATAGAAGCCTTTTAAATTTAGTTTATATCATCAGGATTAGGTAATGTTTTCCATTTTCTGAAAGAATCAATTAATTAACCATTAACTGATAATAAAAATTTACTAAAAAACTTATTTTAAATTTCTAAAGTAGATCTATTAATTGAGAATTTTCTCAATATTTATTTTAGCAATCCTTTTTCAGACTTATTAGCTGAATCCTTCAATCTAGATATCAAATCTTATTTATTAACATTATTAAGTTTTTCTTCCATTTTCTTTTGTACACAATAATTTTCTATCTACTTTAAAGCATCTAATTTTTATCTTTATTAGAATTTTAAAATAAGTTTATCAAGAAATGAACAGATTTACATCTTCTTATTCAGATTAAATAATTTATAAGTTTCTTATTTGATTAATTGATGAGTAACATTTGCACTCTGTTATAATGCTTTAATTTTTCTTAGATTAGTTTCAGTAAGTTTTGCATATGTATTATAATTAGCCCATTTATAAAACGCAGTAAAAGATTAATTGAATGTAACTTCAATCAATTCTCTGATGACTTTAGTCTTTTTATTTTTAGCTTCATCATGAATATCTTTGAAAGCATTCCAAACTAATCTTTTATTTTAATCTACTTTATTTCCTAATTTATTAATTAATTATAATCCTTATTTTTTAATATCATTTTCTCTTTTATCAGGTAAATCAACCCATCTTGTATAACATCTTTATAATCTTCCAAATGTTGTTTTGAGTAGAACTCCAAAAAACTTTTTTTTTAATCTGAAATTAAGTAAATCTCCTCTCCAAATTTCAAATGCCTAATAATAATATTGTAATTTAATACTTCTTTTAATCTTTATCTATCTAATCTATGATTTCTCATATTATATTTAAATATAAAAAAATAATAAAATATTTTAAGATTAAAAAATAAATAAAATATTATTTATAAATATAAATTAATAATATATTCATCTCCTAATCTTTCTAAAGCTTTTAATTATTTATCTAATTTATTAGATTTGATTTTAGCAACTAATTTCCACCAATTAAATTTTTCTCTTAAATATCTTTCTCTATATTTTGAACTGATTGACCAAATCAATAAACCTAGCATTTTATGAGTATCTTATGATTTTGGTTTAATTATTTCAATAGCTTATCTTTAAAGTTAAAATTGTTTTTTCTAAATAAATAAGGCTAAATTGATTAAACTCAAATTTTTTTTTT